TCTTCTTATTATATTTTGTTTGAGGACTAAAAATTAAGTTAACGAGTTAGTTGTTAAAATGAATTATTTCGTTCAAATTTGGTTATAGCTGTTGGGTTCATATGTTGATGGTAATGAAGAGTTTAACCCTAGCATATATGGAATACTCTTTATTTATTTAGATATATGTTAGTTTGAATTATTCAAGTATTTCTCATTAATTATTAGTGAGGTAGGACACTTCCTTAAGTATGAAAAAAATATGAAAGTTCATAAAAGAAAATAAACTAAGAGAAAAAAGAGATAAAATTTTATTTGGTATAATGACGTGAGTGACAAAAAAAAAAAAGAGATCTCTAAAGATTATAAAAAATGATTGATCTTTTTTACTTCGTTATATTTTAGATATATCTAAATGTTATATTACTGCATGATTTAAAAATATTTTTAATTAATAAATATCACGATGATATATGAAACAACATTAAGAGTTATATTTTTTTTTATTCTCATTTTAGAAAATTTATGATTTTTAAAAAATGTATATATTAGAATTCAATTTCACTTAATTTATGCACAAAACAAACATATAAAAGCATTGAACCACGTAAGGAATAGGTATTTTTTTCCTATTACATAGACATATATGAAAAATATATATTGAAATTTACATAGATATATATATATATATATATACACACACACGTATTAAATAATAGGAGAATATTTTCCACTATTGTATATATATTTTTCTTACATTTTTCACCTTTAAACTGAATATTCTTAATTTCTAAAATTTGTGCATCAAATAATATAATAAGATCGACGCTCTCTCTCAGTTCTCATTTGCCGGTTCTGTTTATCTAAAAGAGAAGTTTCGGAAGAAGACGTGGACGGGAAATTTTTTTTTTTTTTTAAAAAATGAAGCAGAGAAGGTGAGGCGACCGAGATAAGTGAATAAGATGCGAACGCGTTTGATCGAAAATCAGAGGGAATGACTGGAGGTTATTGCTGCGGAAAAGAAAGAACCCGAAAGGAGGCAAGCTCAGATTCTATCAAAGGTGAAGAGAGATTGTCGTGGAAAATGGGGAAGAAGATGAATTAGAAGTAATAGAGGAGAGGCTGGGAAGAAGTAAAATGAAAGAAAAAAGAAGATAAAGAATGAGACAGGCACCAAGAACGAGCTTAAAGAGAAAGGAGAAAACCTTTTTGAATGTGCGGGTTTCCTCTGTTAGTTTTCTTTTCTCCTTTGCCTTGCACGATGAGGGCTCGGGATGAGTTAATTCGAATTTTCTTTTCTGGTAGGTTTCTGTTTAGCTTTAATCTTTTGCTTAATTTAATTGATTTTTGTGATGGGTAAATTCCAAATTTGTTGAAGATTTTGGATTTCGGCAAGATTTTCAGCAAATAATGTTTATTTATTTTTGCCATTTTTCCAAAATTTAAAGAGAGAGAGAGAGAGAGAGAGATAAAAGACAGAGAGAGAGAGAGAGAGCAGCGGTGTTGACTTCTGTTTTTTTTTTTTTCATGTGATAAGGAATTAAACAACCAAACAATTTTGGTTCAAAATTAACAGTTTTAGTGGTCTTAAATCTTGAAAAAAATTAAAAAGTTTGAACACTATTTTAAAACCAAAAAAAAAATAATAATAATTTAGGATTAAGATAAAAATAACTAAAGTTCATAAATTAAATGTAGCAGACCCGGTAATTCAAAATAGAAATTATATTATAAATATTTAATGCGGAAGCGAAATCAAAATTTCGGTTAACATCCCTTACACGAAAACCAAAAACGTACTTAAAATATAAAAGATTAAACTAACTAAGAGAGAAACTCGAAAATAAAACTATGAGTATGACTACAGAGTCTCTAGGCATCCCCTTCGTCGTCCTCCTGCGGAACGGGCTCGGGAACCATGTCTTCCTGATCTGAAATGGTTAAATAAGGAGTGAGCTACACTAGCCCAGTAAGAACATCACGATATCTCACCGTCACGGAGGTAAAGATGGGTAGAAAAACACAAAAGACCAATGGAGCATGATTTACAACAAATCCTTTTTTATTTCTGATAAAACCTTTACCATCCACTTATCTCGGTGGAATTCATGAAGCAATATAAGAAAATAATAGCATTATCACAATCATAGAATAACATAAGCTGTAAAACATAGCACTTATCACGCATTTTGTAATTCAATCATTATACAACATATTCTTTTCTCATTTACCAGCCTACTAGTATCCATGGGGTCCATAGGGGTCCCGCTACCCGTTAACCTTTAACATTCATAATCGGTTTCCAATGCCGTCCCCATACCCCGTCCGGTATGGGCGCCAAAACCATAAGATCTCCATACCCCGTCCGGCATGTGAGACCACAATCCCGGTAGGGTTCCCTACGGACCCGGTCCGTCCACCATCTCCCAGGATATCTAGTCAGGCTGACTCCATCATATAATTATCAGTCTACACAATCTTTCATTTTCCTTTTCCTCAATAAGCATCATTAATTCACATTTAAACAAGCAAATCGTAATTCATGCCAAACAGACAACATACAGTATCAGTTCTTCAGTCATTCAACCCATAATTAATAAAACAGTAATATATGCACTCGAAACTATAAAATGAACACATCAAACCTCATAATGCATTTAAAGCTGTAAAACAGACCAAATAACAGTAAATCATCAATCAGACTAGACTCGGGCTCCATTAGCAACCTTAAGCAATTTCACACATGCGTTAATTCAAGAAATACCGTTTTATCATTTTGAACTTTAATACCGTGATAGGAAATAGGGTGAGGGGTCCTTACTTGTTTTCAGGATCCAAATACGATTCACAGTGCGCCTACAGGCCGTCCAAATTTTCCCTGAATTTTTCCCGGGGAAACTGAAACACACTAACGGTACTTGCACGTGTTCCAAAAAAAACCCAAATTAGGCCCAGGGCCTCTTTCGGCCCAAATTGCAACTCCGGCACGGCGGCTCCGCCGTGCTCCGGCGACAGCGCCGCCGCTGGCGGCGGCGAGTCGCCTCGGGTTGGCTGTTTTCGGCCGTTTTCGGCCGAATTCGGTCATACTCGCATCGGCCCCTGTGAGAAAACAGCTCTAGGGCCCTCGAGGGGCCAAAAAATCACGGAAAAACGGAGCTTACCGGCGGCGGCGCTCTCGGGTGCGGCGGCTCTCCGGTGAGGTTCGTGTTTTGGTGATTCGGCTCCGGTCAACCTGTAGAGAAAAGAATGGTGATCACGGTGATATAAAAATTGCATCAAACGGAGGCTGGGAAGGGCCTCGTCGGAGGTAAAAACCGAGAGGGGGCGCGGCGGCGCCGCTGGTCTTCGGCCGCGTATTCCGACCGTTTGGCCGGGATTTTGGCTTCGATTTGGCCATAGGAGGAATCAACGTGGAAAAACGAGTCGGGGGTATGAAATTTACCTCGATCGGCGGTCGGAAATTTCCCCGGTGCGGCGGCGGGTGGCGGCGGTCGGCCTCTGGTTCGTCTTCTCCGGCGAGCGGCAGGCGGCTAGGGTTTGTGGTCTGGTGTGGGGGTTCTATTTATAACCCCTTGCCCTTTGATCTCAGCCGTCCATTTTGTTTTAATCTGGGCCGTCCGTTTTTGATTAAATCTGGGTCGTCCGTGCGATTAAATCTGGGCCGTCTGATCACACAATTGATCTGGGCCGTCCGATCGCGCCCACGCGGATCGCCAACGTGGCCCGTTCAGGAGCGACGTGGTCTTGCCACGTGGCAGGCCCCGGTTGGCTGGGACTGCTGACCGGGCCTACTGACGTGGCTGCCGACGTGGTTTTTTTTTTTTTTTTTTTCCCTCGGTCCGGGCGCTACATTAAATCATTAATTCGTTCTAATAATAAAATAATTTTAATTTATTTTCTTGTATTTTTCTCTTTTAAACAAATTAAACATAAATAATTTTCATATAAATATGTTGTTTGAGATTGTAGGTTTATTATCTCTTGGATAAACCAACCCCAACAGCAATAAAGAGCAGTTCTTTTCGGCCCAAGACCCGTTAAAGCCCAAACCGAAGAACCCAATTTGGAAACCCAGCCCGTTACTAGCAATACCTTAATGTTTCGGAGGTGCTTCTGGTGTCTTCATCAGTTGTCCAGATCGATACTGTGAAGAGGGAGAAAAGCTGCCAAGATCGGAGAGAAGCTTGCATAGCACAGTGGGAGAGTGGTAGTCATTGGTCGAGGAGACCTTTAAGCGAGAAAGAGGAAGAACGTCGGTCCGAGGAGAAATCTAGAGAAGCAAACTTCGAGGAATCAGAGTTTGTGGTTTCGAGGTTGCAGCAAATCAAAGTCTGAAGCACAGGGAAGCAGAACCTTAGCAAAGAAAAACTCGGGTTTGAAAGGGACTGGACGGAGGAAGAGCTTCGAAGCTGGCGACGTGCTCTGGGTTCGGAACCCTCTTTCGGCTATATAGGGAAATTTGAAAAGCAGGAAGAGGGAGAGAGTGCGGACTTTGGGTTTGCGAGAGGAAAAATCTGAAAACAAAGGGGATTGGGGAGGGAGAGAAGTGAGAGAGCGAACGGGGAGGGAGAAGGGAGGAGTAAGCGGAAAGGAGTTTGAAAAGGAGTGAAATTAGAGGGTGATTTGGGGAGAGCAAGCCGAGGAAGATAAAAAGAGAGGGAGAGAAATTCGTGTGTGGGGAAAGCTAGGGCCTCGGGTTAGAGAAACTGAGGGAGATTGAAGAGTGGAAAAAGCAGAAAGAAGGACACCTGGCTTCGTGGTGATTTGCAGAAAAAGGTATAATCCTACTTTCCCTTCTAAAATAAATCCTCGCTCGCAGAGAATTGAACTTGTTTCAAAATTCATTGAGTAGCTAGAGTGACCATGTTTTATGTATTTTGATACTCGGCGGAGAATGTTTGTCCATTAAAGTTAAAGTTATTTTTATGATGTTTCTTCTTGATGAATCTTGATTGTTTCGTTGTTAATGCCTTTGTATCAGTTAATCATTATTCCTGTTGTTGGCTTAATATTATATAGGTTATTTGAACATCTTTTTTATGTTGCCTTCTAATTGGCATGAATCTTAATCTTGTTATTTTGCTAGTTGTTATCAAACATAAATCAGTGCTTATGTAATCTGTTTTTGAGATTTTATTCTCCCTTTTTTTTTTTGGGAACTTGCATGCGGGTTCTTGTTCACATCTGATTCAGTGGATTTAATGGAATGTGCGTTTTCATATCCTTGTTTCCTAAGTGAGAAGTATGTTGGGAGGATGGGAATTGATATTCTGGTGAAGACATTTTAACTTTTAAAGTCTTCTATTATTGTTTTTTTACTCTTGGGTACATGGAGGAACTAGAAGTCAATATCACTATTTGGAGCACATCCATAATCTGTTCGGTGATCTCTTGGTTGGAGTTTGGTGCCCAGTGTTTGTTTTGAGCACCTTGCAATTTGTCCTCCTTTACTTGGTTTTTCCATTATAGGTATTTTAGTATTGTATGTGCAATATTTCTCTTTGGTTATTTTGCCCACCATCATTCACATGATAAACATAAGTATTAGATAAAGTCCTGATGTTTATCATTTGGTTTGCCCACAGCAAGGTTCAGCCTCCTCTTTTAGCTGCATGTCCTACCTCAGTCTTTTCTATGGTCGATAATGTTTTATTGTATTTTGTTTGGAGGTCTAAAGGTGAAAAAAGAAAAAAAGGAAGTTTTTTAGTTGTTGTCTGTGGTCCATTTGCCCATTAAAATCTGGTCTTAGGTTTTTGATACGAAAATAACTTACTTTAGGTGCCTAAACTAGACTTTTTTTAAATTTTCTTTTTCTTTGGTTTTTTCTTTGTTACTTCTTATTTATTTCCATTTAAATCAAAATCAAAATTTTTTAGTCAAAATCAATGAAATTGTGCCACCAAGTGGGTCCTTCACTTGTGTCCACTTAGGACTATTTTTGTGGAAGTCATATTTCTCTAAATTGATCAGCACATGTTTTGATGTCTAATCCCACCTTGAATGGATTAATTCCCCGTATAATTTTATAAAAAAAAATATTATATCTTTATGGAGTCCTTTTTGGTTCTTGCATTACTGTGGTTGTGACTGGACCAACTGGACTGGACCCTCCTGTTTGGTTTGGTCTTCAATCCTGAAAGGACCTGACAAATCATCTCAGTCTGCACCCTCATGGTTTTGTACCAATGAACACCGATGACCCATAGGGGAAGTGATAATTGAGACATAGCAGCAGTCGTAAAGACTACTTTATTGTAACTTCATATGTTTGTTTTGTATATAGACTAGTTAATTAATGTTCTCCTTACCTTATTTTAGCTTTAGTGCGATTTCATCTTTCTGATGATTGACTTTTTGATTACATGGGGTGTAAAGCCTATCCAGTGGATAGACACCCATCGTTCTCTTGAGGGAGAATGGGTTCAAATCCCCACATATGCTGCTATCTTGTGCCAAGAAAAGAAAACATTCTACCAAAGAAGAACCTTTAGTTACACATAATCGATAAGTTTGATTGTCACACGCAGTTTTTACTATTGAATTGAGTTGCATTTTAACTGAAGTCCCAACTTTACCTTGAATACAAATATCGCAACTGGGATTCTTCCTTGGGAGCTAGTTAGGCTAACTGTTAAATTGGCAGGAAGTTGAAATGAGCTCGGCAACATCCAAAAAGAAGGGAACTCCTCAGATTGTTACATTGGATAAAGCATTGAAACTGGTAAATCTATCCCCCTCCACTAGTGAATTCATATTTTAAGTGTTTTATGTTGGATCCTGCGTCTTTTTCTTTTTTTTTTTTGAATAAGATGTTGGATCCTATGTCTTAATAGCTTAAAGCATTTAAGGCCAACATACACCAAAAAAGAATTGTACACATGCATAGTTTTTTTTACGCATACAAAAAGGAAGTGAGCAAGGCGGACTAAATACATAGCCACATTGTGGAGATTTCCTGTAAATCTTCTTTTATGTGCCCATGCTTCTTTTGGCATCGAGCTAACACACTACTGATGTGCAGGCTGAACAATGGGTTAATAGCATGACTTCTGCAGAGGATGAACCTACGAGTGTAGAATCAGAGGGCAGACCTCCAAGGTCAGTGCTGCTTGCTTTACATTCTCTCTCCTGTCTTTTTTTTTCCGCTGTTAGCTGAGTTCTCTAACTTTTTTTTTTATAGGCTTGGACTAGGTGCAAAAGTATCACGTCAATTCAAATTCCGTCCTTCAAATGATCCAGTTGAAAGGAAATTACATGCCAAGTTGGATTCTAGGAAAAGAAAGGCTGCCAAATATACAGAGGAGTCCAGCCCAGCAGCTAGAGACGAATGCCTTGACGATGATGTTGATGAGGAGGATTTGGAAAGCAGAAGTAGTGTGTTTGCCAAGAGGAGAGCAGATCGTAAGGCTTCATCTTTACAAACAAACAATAAACAGAAGAAGTAGTAACTTCTAGCCTTTTGATTGTAAACATCCTTATTATTTTCTTCATGTAAACCTGATAGGTTTCCATTTTCAGGCAACAGAGAAATACCCTTTTTTGTCTACTTCGCGCTTTACGTTCAATAAATATGGTAGTGAATGAATATATACAGTTCAGTTAGTTGGAGTTGGCCTTCTATGCGCTTTTGAGGCTTATAAAAGCAGGTGACCGTAGGAGAAGAAATTCATTACATATAAACGCTCCATCACAGTTCAATAGTTTTCCTATGGTTAAAAAGTGCAACGCAACATAGCACTTAAGAGAGTAACTGGATTATAAACTAAGAAAAAAAAAAAAAGAAGTTTACAGATAAGTTTGAGCAATTTTAGACTTTCTGAATGTTCAAAACTGCAATTTTACACGTCACAATCATGAACTGAAATATAGTTGATGTAGGTGCTTCTATAGATGGAGGATGAGAGGACACTAGTATATTTTAGTGTAAGCAGAACTAGCAAGAAGTAATTAGCATAATCCCCTTATTAATTTTCATCAAGTCAAATTGTGAAAAGTAAACTAAGAAAAAAACAAGTTTCCAGATAAGTTTTAGCATTTCTAGACTTTCTGAAAGTTCAAAACTGCAATTTTACACACCACAATCATATAGGTAAAGTAGGTGCTTGTATAGATAGAGGATGAGAGGACACCAGCATATTTTAGTTTAAGCAGAACTAGCAAGAAGTAATTAGCATAATCCTCTTTATTAATTTTCATCAAGTCAAATTGTGAGAAGTACAACAATCACAGTTTCTGCTCCATACATTCAAAGAGTTGAGGAACAGATCTTATTTTCTCTTTCCTTTTATGCAAATCAACAGTAGTCAAAGCTTCCAACACTCCCAAACTTGTAGATACAAAAGAAATAAAAATGAGATTTTAAAAGATCAATTCATAAAGATGAAAGAGAAGAATTAACGGAATCAAACCAAGAAGAAAGAAACCCAAAAAAAAAACACCCTCAACACACCAAATTCTACAAACTCTACAATGAGAAGAACATTTTCTTTTTGTAGTCAACTAGTGAAAAGCACAGGTAAGAGCTATCATATTTGTCATTGCCAAGAAAAGACAGAAAAACAGAGTTGGTATTCTAATACCATGCTGATGAAGAAAGAATCCTCCGATACTTTCCGCTTTCTAGAGCTTCTGCACTAATTGCTAAGGGATATAAATTCTGTAGTATCTACATGATTTCAGTGGCAAGGTCAGTAACAGCAGTGGAGTTGTGTGTAAGGTCTATGAGACTGTGATAGTTAACCTAAAGCCCATCCCAGCTTCGCACGACGTTGATGCACAGGATAGAGGCAATTTTCCCCCACTCTGATGTAAGGTGAGTTCAATTATTGATGTGGAAAAAAATGAGCACCACCTTTCCTGCTTAATCCTGTCCATTTTCCTTGGACACAGCCAGAAGAGCAGAATGTTCAGACTCTACACTAGCATTGAAAGAGCTGAATATAGTTTCCTCAATAAGTTCATCAAGTATCATTTCACCCATCTCAATGCCGATACAATCTGTATCAAATCGGAGGTCCATCCATATTCCAGCTTTAGCCATGTCTTTCCTGACTATCTGCTCCAGTGTACGAGGCAGTGGCATGGGAAGCACATGCAAATAGACTCTTTCCTGAACCTCACAGATAATATTTTCCATTTTCGGAAGAGGCTGAAATTTTGGTTTAACAAATGATACCCAGGGGGAGCAGCCACATTGGTTCCCACAGACCTCTGCAATAACTTCATTAATGCAATCAAAGAGGAGCTTCTGGTCATAACAAAGCTGGTTGGGAAAGAACTCTACTTCATCGCACAATGATGGTTCAAGGAGCTGCTCTGAAGAAAGTGATTTGATATATATTTCTTCCCAGTTCATGCCCGCAGTTTCAAGAACCCCTCTCACGTGCTCAAATAATGATCTCTTGTCATCCATAAAAGTTGTCACATGGTTACCTTGATCTGTGGCTGGAGAGTCATTTTCTTCAAATTGAATACGCAGCGGTTGCATTAGTTTTTCAACTGGAAGTTAGTAAATAGATTAGCTCAACATCAATAAGTGGATAGTTGAAACACGTAGAGAACTTTTCTTATGCCTACCAGAATGGAGCCTGGTATTTGCAGGACTGATGTCATCCTCTGTAAATAGTGGCTCAAGAACAGATACAGGACTTGGCCGCTCCAGACATCACTAGCACTGTCTTGA